TGACGAAGCGGATATCGTCCTCTTTTGGAAGACCAAACAAAGTAGTTTCGCTTTCACAACGAAGCACACAGCGCATTCACAACATGACGGCGGCAACAACAATACTACAGCGAGAATAAAAGTTACGCCTTCTTTCTTTGCGTGAACATTTGGGCGGCGTTATGCAAATCTTCCCACATAGTGACGTAGACATGTGGGGGCGTGTTAGAACGAGGCGTTTTAGGTAGGCGTGGCTGACTCTTAGCTTTTATAAAGAATATCTCTTTGGATTTGAGACTTTAGTCTTTGCAACTTTACAGATCTTCTTTATGCACCAACAGCTTGTAACACTCCAAAGAGAAAGGAACAATTGAAATCGCATCATATGACCCCTTTAAAAAATGTGCGCGCACACACACACACACACACACAAACATGAGCCTCAGACACAGATCCGCTCTTCTTTTTCCCCACACGACGAGCGACTATAACAGTCACAGAATGACATTGTTAAAACGGCCTCTTTTAACACAGAAACAGAGCGAGACAGACAGACAGAGAGAGAGAGAGAGAGAGAGAGCGAGAGAGAGAGAGAGAGAGAGACAGAGAGAGTGATGTCTCTGATGCCACTGAAGTCGACATGAAACGCTTTTCACAACCCATTTTATCCTGACGTAATTCTGAGAGAAACGAGACATTCAATAAGAAGAAATATGTAGGACAAGACTTGATTCTATCCATTTGGAATCGATTGGGTCGTGAAAAGTGAGTGTTATTAGCAAAATAAACTAAAATTAAAATGAAAACTGATTATATTAAAATAAAAACTAGTTCTAATAATTTAAATAACAGATTATGAAAACATCAGTGTATGTATTAATGTATTGTATTAGTTTTTACTTTACATTTTAGTTATTTTAGATTTTATTTTTATGTTTTATATGTTTTTTATATTTCTATATTTTTATGTTACTTAAAAAGTTTTAGTTTAATTTGATTGTTTTTCCTCATTTTTATTTTTTATATGTAGTTTATATATATATATATATATATATATATTTCAGTTTTAGTTATTTTAGTATCAAGTTAAACTTTGTTTTTATGAAAAAATGGTGTAGGATTTACTTCGACTCTATTTTCACTCTAGAAAATTGCTAGTAATTTGCACAAATAATCACAAATTATCGGCAAACAATACATTGAATTAAACATTAAATTTTTAAGTAGAATTTTTTTTATTGACTATGTACAATATATATAATATTGCATCAGCAACTGACTGAAATAAAATAAGCTTAAGTTGTTTTTGTACCTTTTATTTCATGAAAAATTTTTATGGTTTTAGTTTTCATCAGTTTTAGTTAACTTTAGTGAAAATTGTAGTCAGTAATGTCATCTAGATTGCTCATTTTAGGTAACGTATTCTGACTACTTTTGGATTATTTTTGCCATAACTTGCAGATGTAAATGGGATTATCATTATATATAAAAAAAGATATAAAATATATTTCATTCTTTGTTATCAACATCATGAAATGCATTTAACATTACATTTCTCCAGGGTTTCCCAAACTGGGGTAAATATTTGATGTCAGTTATACATCGGAGTGTTTAGTAACTTGTGTAATTAACATTGTGTGATTGACTGAGAGGTGCTTTTGTCCTCCAATTCAGAAGCATGGACCGCAAATTAATTAAATTCAAATATACATGACATTTACATGGTCATTCTATATTGTGAATATTCAAAGCTAAATTATATGACACACAGTAGAATATTTAGAAATTGTGAATAATTGAATGCCATTGTGTGAATAATCTGGAACCATGTAATCCAAAAAAGTTACATTTTTGGAATCTGATTATATTATATTACACTTAATAATGCAAAATTTTGATGATAAATTATATCAAATTACAGTAATTTTCTCACCTCTCCGACAACTTTTTTTGAGGGCTGGAAATAATATGAACCTACTAGATACCTGCAAAACTCACCGCCTTGATGTCAGGGTGTTGCTATGTGGTTGCTAAGGTAGCTGTTGCTGTTGGCATGTTGCTATGCAGTTGCTAGGCGTTTCTGGGTTGTTGCTAGGCAGTGGCTCGCATCCCTCTTTCATTGTAAGTCTGTGGGTTTTTCAGGTTAACATTGTATAAATAAACTCCTCATCATGCCTCCTCCATACCTTCCTCTACGATCCGTCCATCCTGATCGTCACAGCACTTTTACTAACTGTTGCCTGTATCTCCATGGCGACCATCCGCCGCTGATATTCTGAGTAGAGAGTGGCGTTCAGTCTATAAATAACCCACAGACGGTTTGTCCTCCCATTAATTGGTCTGTCGATGAATCAGACGGTAAATGATGATGGAGGATGAGCATCTGACAGCACGAAGCACTCAACACATTTCTCACAAACTCTGATTGTGAGACGCAGAGAGATTTTCACACAGATCTTTAACATCTTAAACAAACACACTCGTACAGTGCATTATAAAAAATGAGCTTCTGAGAAAGACTGTTATGGCAGAAACACCTGAGTGACTAATAAAAGAGAAGTGCAGGAACAGACTGTTTGATCCTACAGTCGAAAACTAGAGTATGTCATTCATAGAAAGCGACAGAAAATGCAACGTTATAAACTTTCATCAAAGAAGCGACAGACAAACTCTGTGTGTGTGTGTGTGTGTGTGTGTGTGTGTGTGACTCCTTTGAAGATTAAACACTGACTACTGAAGTCTCTCTCTTTCACTTGCGCTCAGGAAAACATGGAAAATTTTGTTTATTATTGAACTTCAGTCTCACAAAAAACTGTCAAGAACATATTCATATTTCAAATTATTTCAATTTATCTCAGTAATAATGCAATGTAATAAAAAAAGTGGATATAAATACACACACGTGCACACACATATATTAAATTATTAAAAAATATATAAATATAAAATGATTTTTATGAAATAGAAATTATATATAAATTATTAAGTATTATTATTACAATATTACCATAATAGAACTTGTAATTGTAATGTAATTTATTCCTGTGATGGCAAATCTGAAATATTAATCATTCATTAATTATTAATTAATTTTACATTTCTAAGAAAGTATTTGGTGTCAATGCTGTATTTATTGTAATGTCTCAAATTTATGCAGGTATGTATTAAATTCCGTATGTTTATATTATAAAATGTTATATATAGTATAAACTACGGTGGGCGAGAAGTGCAAAGCAAATCACAATTCTGAAAACAAAATAACAAATTACAAACGCAAATGCAAATCTAAAAAACAAAATAACAATTCAGAAAGCACAACAACAATTCAGAAAACATTATAACAAGTCAGAAAGCACAACGACAAATTCAAAAACAAATTATGTGAAAAAAAAAGTTCAGCAAAAGGCGAGATCGAACCCGGGTCGATCGCGTCAAAAAGCCAACAACCCGTGTTTATCCATCTGCACCACTGGAGCTGATGATTTATAGCTGCTTTTAAGTAAATCTAAATAGACACCCCGTATTTTTTATTCCAGAGTAAGGGCAATTCATACAATACATTTAAACTGAGCTACTTTAATACCATCTCCGAACTTTCTACCACGACTCTGCTGTTCTTCGGCTGGTTCTTCTCTGTATACGGTGATTGACAGATGTCTCGTCCAGTCAGCGGTGAGTAATCCCAAACCAATGGCGCTGTCTCAAACTATACCTACCTCTTCCGGTTTGTCTGATTTGTCGTTGTTTTTTCGGACTTGTTAATTTGTTTTCGGATTTGTCGTTGTGTTTTCTGACTTGTTATTTTGTTTTCAAATTTGTCATTGAGTTTTCCGACTTGTTATAATGCTTTCTGAATTGTTATTTTGTTTTTTAGATTTGCATTTGCGTTTGTAATTTGTTATTTTGTTTTCAGAATTGTGATTTGCTTTGCACTTCTCGGCCACCGTAATAAACAGGTTATGTAATATATAACGCTAATGAAAATCTAATTAGAATCATCACTAAGAATAATTAGACAAAATACAGAAAAGTTAAACACCTGGATGTATTACAGTTATTAAAGTTTGGAGAGGAAATATTGTCATGACAATAATCTCTCAATGCAAAACATTTTTAAAAAATAAAACAAATTCTAAAGCTTCTAATTTTTTCATTACTTGCATTTCTTTTAATTTTGGGGTGAAATATGACAAATTTGGGCACATTTTTCTCTCTTGTGTTTTCTTCTCGTTCTTTACTGTGTTATGCAGTATGTTCTTTGTGCATCGTATGTAACACTGAACTGACTCTCTCTCTCTCTCTCTCAGTTTGTTCGCAGTATTCGCGAGGAGTCTTTGCGATCTTCGGCCTGTACGATAAGCGCTCGGTCCACACTCTGACGTCCTTCTGCAGCGCGCTGCACATCTCTCTGGTAACGCCCAGTTTCCCTGCCGAGGGCGAGACACAGTTCGTGCTTCAGCTGCGGCCGTCCATCCGCGGGGCGTTACTGAGCCTCCTGGACCATTATGACTGGAGCCGCTTCGTATTCCTGTACGACACCGACAGAGGTAAGAAACACACACTTGTGCATGCAGCCGTACTGAAAGAGGACACTATAACAAACATGAAGAGCCATTTTTGGGTTGTTTAAACATTTTCTGGTGTCTTGGTTTAATGATTTGTTTGTTTGAGCGGCCTGACATGTCAAACTTCTGTCTCAACCAAGCGGCAACCTACCGCTCTCTCTCGTGAAGCCAGCACGGAAGTGACTAAAACTGCAATTCATCGACTGGCCGCTAGAGGCTGGCTCCAAAAGAGAGGCAGTCCCATAGACTCCCCATGTTAAAATGGCCAACTTTACAGCAGATAAAAATGTTTACAGCCTGGTACAAAAAATTATTTTGGTCTATATAGCTAATTTTGCCCTTCATGACAACTGTGAGGGGGGTGAATGTTTTTATAACTCATCCGTTTAAATTATATTAAGCCTTAAAGTTCTGCATAATTAAGGGAGTGGCCACTTGAGTGACAGGTGGATTACCACTACTGTCACCACCATCGAGATAGGTGGGCGTGGTTTCAGCAACCAGCTCCCGCCTCTGTGCCCATTTTCGATTATCCGGGAGTGACACACGGTGACGCGCTGCCAAGATGGTGACGGTCCGCTCCGCCCACTTTGAGCTTCAAAACCACTCTTCAGAAACCTACGGGTGACGTCACGGACACTACGTCCATGCTTTTATACAGTCTATGGTCTCAACCAATCTTTGTAGACAGAGAGCAGAGATGAATGAGCAGTAGGAGTGTTACAGAAAACCTTTAGGAAAGGTTCATTAATTTTGCAGTTCGGTTTGCTACATAGTTCCAATTTAAACCATTTTAGACAAAAAACGAACAAATAGCCGAGACAGAAACAGATTTAACATTATGAGACTTTTTGTTTGCATGTGGCCTAAGGATGATTAGATCGCAATAATTTTTGAACATGAAACACCCAGCATCCACAGAGAAAAACTGAACGAAGGGACTCATTTAAATAATGTTACACATTCAGGGTTATTCTCGTTAATTAAAACTATTAAAACATTTTGTTTGTTGAAATGATGATGAAATATATCAAATAAAATAAATACTAGATGAAAAATAAACTAAACAAAAATGAGAAATGACACCTAGGCAAATAAGTAAATTAAGTTTAATTAGAAAAAAGTTTAAATTACTGACTGGAAAACTGAAATAAAAAATTTAAAATAAATGAAAATGGCAAAATTACAAAAAAAAGTTACTAAAATTAAAATAAAACTGAAAATATAAAAATTTAAATACATTTAAATCTTATTAAAATACTAGTAATAAATAATACTAAAATAAAATAAAATAAAATAAATATTAGAAAAACCTTAAACTAAACAAAATATAGAACTAACTAAAATAAGTGAAAGGACTTAAATTAATAACTGGAAAACTGAAATGAAAATAAATGAACCCTAAATAGTAATATAAAACAAATAATAAAAATGACAAAATTACTAAAAATTAAATTAAAATTAAAATAAAAAGGAAAATACATGAGAAAATACATAAAATACATAAAAAATTAATATTGTAATAAATAATACTAAAACAAAATAAAATAAATATTAGTTTAAACAAAATTAGTTGAAGCACTAAAATTACTAACTGAAAAACTGAAATAAAAAATGATGTATTGACTTATAAACAAATTTTCACTTAGTCAAACATTTCTTTTAGATATTTCAGGGATTAAAAGCAGATTGCTGTTGTTCATATTGGAAACATAATTCTATAAAAGACAGACTGATAAACATAAATATACTGAAGCTTCAGCTGAATCTGCACAAGCACTCACGTTTGTAAGCTGGCGTTGGTGTTGGAGTCACAGCTGCGGTCTAATTCTCTCGTCTGGCATCATGGGAGCCCCGCAGTGAGGCAGGACCTGAGTGTGCGAGTCAGGCAGGCCACTGTCCAGAAAAGGAGAATTTCTTGATATGATTTGCTCTTCATCGGCCCATTTTAAGCCCAGCATTCGGCCACAGAGCGCCCCAGATCTCCTGCCTGCTGTCGGTCCACTGCTCATCCTCGAGCCCAGAGCGACGCGGGCCGCAAGCCAATCATCCAGTCATCCGTGATCTCCTGCTTAAAGGCCAGAAAGAGAAGCTAATGGATCCACTCGCATCCGCTTTCTTCCCTCATCTTCATTTTCTTCGTCTCCTCCCTCGCTTAATAAGTGCTGATGTTTGAATTTGACTGCTAGTCTCTTGAGCCGCTTCATCCGAGCTGGCATCGAGTCCAAGGTCAATGCAGCGTGTTTTTCCCATCAATTTTGCCTTTGTCCTTCTGTTTTGAAATAAGCTGAAGCACTTAAATTACTAACTGGAAAAAGGAAATAAAAACCTAATAGTATTGTAAAAAATAAATATGAAAATGACAAAATTACTAAAAAATTTAACTAAAATTAAAAGAAAAACTGGAAATATAAAAATAAAACACTACTAATGCTACTATAATGGTAATAAATAGTACTAAAAATAAAATCAAACTATAAAAATGGCAAAATGATAAAAAAAATTTAAATATATATATATATATATTTATATATATATATATATATAATTTAATATAAATATTAAACATAATAAAATACAGTCAATATATAAATAAAAGTAATATTAATAAATAATGCTTAAAATATATATTTTAGATTAAAAAAATTTTACTGGACAAAACTTAGAAATGTTTAGGTTAAGTTTAAGTTGAAGCACTAAAATTATTAACTGGAAAACTGAAATAGAAATATATTTTTAAAAAATGACAAAATTATTAAAAAGTCAGATTAAAAATTAGAAACATAAAAAAATTATATAAATATAAAGTTTTATATAAACAAAACATATGTCAAAATATTAATAAAAACTGTAATAGTATATAAATAATACTAAAATAACACTACACATTACAGCACAAACTAAGGATGGACCAGGATGGTTGATTAATCAACTAGCTGTTCAAAAACAACTAGTCAGTTAGGGAGGTTAACTAGTGCCAACTTCTCAGAAAGTGTTTTAGCAATTATTTTTGTGAATCGTAAACGCTATTCTGATCTTGAGCCGCTTCATCTGGAGTTGGCATCGATTCCAAGGACGATGCAGCATGTTTTTCCTGACGGTTTTGCCTTTGTCCTCCTGTTTTTGTTGATTCTAGTGCTGAGGAGGTTTATCAGACTCATAGACACTCGGCTTGACCTCACACCTCCGTCAGCAGATCTGCATTGCGGATCTGTCTGCTAAAACGTCTCCGATCGCTCGCTCATGCACGTGAAATGGCTGATCGCAGGGGAACGTCCGGCTTGTCTGGAGATGTTAGCATCACTGCCAGCAGATATGGAAAAAAGATATCTATTCACAGATGAACACTAAACCCATACTGCAGATTAGTTTAGCAAGAATAAAAAAAATAAGACAATTTACTGACACGTAAAACAACCAATCACAGTTTGTCTTGTAGCTTGACTGACAATGAAAAGCTTGTTAAAAATACACTTTGTACATTTCCACAGAAAACAGAGAAGAAATAAACAGAAATGTGTGTAGATCTTAAGGGTGTGTGAAACTGATAAAAAATATCTCAAAATGTTCTGGTATTTTGCAGTTACAGAAATTCATGTTTTCGTTAAGGGCCACGTTTGCCACCTTAAACTGATTTCCAGAGGCATTTGACCTTTTCAATATAATTTTTTCTATCTTTATTCAATGTGCGTGTCATATTTTATGTCAAATTCTTATATTTAATCAATAAATTATAATATTAAGACACTATATTCTGTTACCAAATAAAAAAATCAATCAGTATCAGCAAAATCCATTTTTGCATTGCAAAACTGGCACAGAAGCAACATTTACAGCTGCATAAACAATGCTATGAGATTGTATTAAAATTAATATTTTACTTATTGAAATTTTACTTTAAATAAGTAATTGAAGCCATTTATTCAACCAATTCGTTCTAACTGCTGATTCATTCAGATAAATATTTAAAAAATAAATATTACAAATTTGAAATTATTATTATTTTATATTAAATGAGTAAGTCATTCAACCTATTCAATATTTATTAAACTAATAACATTTTCATTATTTAAATATGAAATTACTATTTTTATATGAAATTATAGTTTAAATATGCAAGTCACTGTCTTAATGGGTGAGTCACTGAGTCATTTATTCAACCGATTCATTTAAACAACTGATTATTTCAAGAACGAAGCAAGTAAATGTTGTCTTTATGAAAGGATCATTGAATCATTGATTCATTCAAACGGATGATTCGTTCAAGAATGAAGCAGGTGACTTTATGAATGGATGATTCAACTTAATTTATTCAAACGGATGATTCATTCAAGAAAGAAGCTGTAGTGACTGTCTTTATGAAAGGATATTTGAATCATTGATTCGTTCAAAAGCGATTCATTCAGAAATAAAACACAGCTATATTTCGCTCTGTATCCTCAAATGATTTAAAACCAAAAAATGATAAAAATTAGACAAGTCCAGTCATCAGTTTTTCATTGCAAGTTCTCGTAATATCGACCAACTTGTTTAACTGCACTGAATTATCAAATCAACCCTGATAGCACACGTACATCATGGAGACGTCTATTTGTCGTCTGTATTTACATCTGCAAGACCTATTTTTTAGAGCGTTTGCTCATCTGCAATACGTCTATGGGACGTTTCCTATCAGATGTCAAATAGACGTTTAGAAGATGTCTTTAAGATGCTTGTGATTTAGAATGAATGTAAAACTGACATCTTTAAGACGTCTATCAGATGTTTGTACACAGCAGATGCTTTCCAGATAAAGAGATCTTTAACAGACATCTTGCAGACATACATGCGCTTTCTGAGAGAAAGCTGGTTTCTGTAGGCTGTTAATTTGGGGGGGGGGGAGCATCTTTCTTCATTGTTGGTTATTCATTTCTTTTCTTTTTTTACCCCCTGTCAGCCACTTCAGGATAGTTGCACGGTGCTTCACTATGGATCACTAGCTGAAAAAAACAGCATATGCTGGTTAGGTATGTTTTGAAGCATGGCTGCTGGTTTAAGATGGTCCTTAGCTGGTTTGAGCTGGTTTAAGCTGGTCATGTGCTGGTTCTAAGCAATTAGCTTCTGCTCAGGACCAGCATATGACCAGCTTAAACCAGCTCATGACCAGCTAAGGACCAGCTCAAACCAGCAGTCATGCTTCAAAACATACCTAACAAGCATATGCTGGTTTTTTCAACAGGGGCGTCCGGTAGGTTAGTGGACGTCCAGGCTTACGTTCGGCGTGCCGTTACAGCAGTGCTGGAATCCGCTCGGCTATCAAATGTTAGCAGCACAGTTGAGCAAACATCTCCACTTACAGGCCCTGAGTAACTGACACAGCCGTCCCTACTGGCATGCTCACTTTAGCCGAGAAACGGACCATCTGGCAGTCTGGATCGGACTGTTAGCGATCGGTTCCAGCTACTGCTCCGCTTTAGTTTAGCGCTTTGACACTTTAGCCAGAGTCTCGCTACTGCTACCTTTATGAACACTGACTTTACACTGAGTGAAATGCTACTACACTGCCTACTACACAATGTGTACTGCATATGGCTTAATATTAAACAATAGTATGAGACAGTATGCACAGTACGGAATGCTAAACTGTAGTATGCCCCTATATGCAGGGGTGTGTCTAAGATTTTATAGTTGGGGTGGCAAAGGGGGGGCAAGAGCGCCAGGTACACAACTGCAGATTTGCTGAGGGATGTGCAAGATCAGTGTTGTCGCCTTTGTGTACTCTATTCCCTAACACCATCACAGAAAAATTTCAATCAGGGGTGAAAAAGTGACAAAGGTGCGACACCCACTTAAACTCATGATGGCCATATATTGCTCACATTTGAGTTAAGCAGTTTTGGAGGGATCTATGGTATTCTTTATTTATTTGCCTCAAAATATGCATATTTTTGTACATATTTACACAAAATTGTAAGAGTAAATGTAAAACTTCACTTTTAAGAATATCTTTTTTTTAATTAATGTATAATTCTTGGAAAATGTGCCATTAAGTGGAAGATTTCTGCCGCCTGGTTGAAAACGAACACTTATACTATGAAAATGACATGATATTACCACTATGACCAGTAGAGGGCTGCAGAGGATCACTCATTGGTTCATTTGCCGTTTCCAATTCAGTTATGTTCACTTTTTGCTTTTGGATTTACATTTAGACATTAGAAAATCACTAAAATAGCATTTTAAAAAATCACTTTTTGTCAAAGGTCAGCACTGTTTTGAACTGAAGTATGAATATTTTCCAAAAACTCATTGCATCACACAATGAATGAATCACACAAATTACCTTTTCTGAATTCAAAACAGCGATTTTTTGGCTAAATGTGACTAGTTGAGCTGTCCTCAGTTTAATGCTTTTTTGTTTGTTTGTCTTTTTCTGTTCTGCACCCCAGAATGTTTCCCTCCTCTATTCATTTTGTTTAGGATATGACTGTAACAATGTCGAAGGGTGAACTAATTTAAAATGCTAAACAAACGTTAAACAAACAAACAAAAAACATCTTCCTCCTTTGTTTATTTTTAAGCAGTAAACTTTTGATTATTTTATAAGAAGATTTTCACTGAATGATTTCACTAAAAGTTTATTTTTTTTAGTTTTAGGATGCAGTCAAATGTTGATGAAAGAGATGAGTTTTCAGCTGTCACTTGAAAATTGTCAGGGATTCAGCATTCTGGATGAGGGTGGGAAGATCATTCCACCAGCCAGGAACAGTGAATGAAAATGTTCTGGAAAGTGATTTTGTGCCTTTCTGTGACGGTACCACGAGCCGTCGCTCACTTGTAGATCTAATGCTTCTGGAGGGGATGTAGATTCATAAGAGTGAGTGGAAGCAGGAGGGTGCTGAGCCTGTGGCTGTTCTATATGCAAGCATCAATGTCTTGAACTTGATGCGAGCCGCAACCGGTAGCTTGTGCAGGGAGATAAAGAGAGGTGTGACTTTGGCCCTTTTGGGCTCAATGAAGACCAGTCGTGCTACTGCATTCTGAATCATTTGTAGAGGTTTGATTGTGCTTGATGGAAGTCCAGCCAGAAGAGCATTGCAGTAGTCCAGCCTAGAGATGACAAGGGCCTGGACAAGAAGTTGTGCAGCATGCTCCTGATCTTTCTGATGTTGTGCAATGCAAACCTGCATGATTGAGCAGTTTTTGCAATGTAGTCTTTGAAAGTCAGCTGGTCATCAAAGATTACACCAAGATATCTGACCGAACTTGATGGGGTACTTGTTGATGAGCTTAGCTGGATGGTGAAATCATGCTGTAGATTCGGAGTGGCAGGGAAGACGAGAAGTTCAGTCTTTGCCAGGTTGAGCTGTAGGTGATGTTCTTTCATCCATGCCGAGATGTCCGCCAGGCAGCCTGAGATCCGTGCAGCTACCGGTTGAAATTAAAGATAAGAGTTGTGTGTCTTCAGCATAGCAAAGGTAGAAGAAATCATGTGCCTGTATGATGGGTCCCAGTGATGTTGTGTATACGGAGAAGAGGAGGGGTCCAAGAACTGATCCCTGTGGAACCCCAGTGACCAGTTGATGTGCTTTGGATACCTCCCCTCCCCAGGCCACCCTTAAAGAGCTACCTGTGAGATAGGATTTACATATTTACAAATATATAAAAAAAATAAAGTTTAATAAAAAAAACATATTTTGAGTCATTTTGCTAACTGACACCAAATTTCTCCAAAACCTCTCCCTTTGAAGTAGCACATCACATGCCTATACATTCACATGTGCTGTGTTTGAGAAGCAGCTGGTACAGGCTGTGTTTACATGCGGAGCGAGAGGCAAGCGTCCGTCCGTCCATCCGTCCATCCACACACAGACTGGGGTTTGTGTACAGAGGATTCTCCAGCTCTCTGCTGCCAGTCTGTGTTTACTCACAGCACAGCTGGTGCCGTTTGTGTGTGTGTGTGTGTGTGTGTGTGTGTGTGTGTTTGTGTGAGCTCACGGTAATCTGTGGTCTTTCTGTGTGTTGTGGTTTGTGTCATATCTGTTGTTCTGAATCTGTTCACACACACACACACACACACACAGACGGATGCTGGACACTGCATATGTCCTGATGTCCAAAGTCCTGCGGTGCGACTAAAGGCCAGTTTAAAGGACATCTGTTGCTCTTGGCTGACATTACTGGCACACTGATGCAGAATACACACGGGACATTTGGACAGGAGACGGAGCCAGAGTTCAAACACACACCTGTAGAAACAAGATCACACACGCGCACGCACGCACGCACGCACGCACGCACACACACACACACACACACACACAGAGACAGTCTGGAAAGGAGAATATGGCAGAATTATGTTGCTTCTCACTTTTTAGCATTTGCATATAATTGCATTAAAGTTTATTTTTTCATACTTTGGCAGAGATAATGGAGTCAGTGTTATTTTTGTATTATAGTGATACTATTATAGTTTTTATAAATATTTAAATTCGTTTTTATATTTTCTGTTTTCATTTTCATTTTAGTTAAAGTTTTAGTAATTAGTTGTGTTTGTCATTTTTATGGTTTATTATTATTTTTAAAATATGTCTGTATAGTTTACATTTTTATTATTTCAGCTTTAGCTATTTTAGTATATGAAAATGTAATATCTCATTAAATTAAAATCAGAAATGTTGCTAAAATAAAATATTAATAATTAAAATAAGTTCACGTTTTTTTATATATTTTATTTTATTTTGGTTAACTTTTTTATTGAACTATAATAATAACCCTGAATGGATTTCTCAGTTATTTCTCTTTTAAGTGAGAAACTTTGTCTCCCATTGTTTAATAAAAAATAAGACACAAATGAGACAATAGATTTAGCTATTATCTGATTTATTTTGCATCTTACATTTTAGTATCTGCATAAAATTGCAGAAAAACTTTTTGTCATACTTTGAGAGACATAATGGAGTCAGTGTTTTTTTAGTATCATTGAGGTACAATTATAGTTTCAATTATAATTTTTTAAAAATATTTTTACATTTTCTCAGTTATTCCTCTTTTAAGTATCATCTTTGTCTCCCATATTTTTATAAAATAGACAATTAAGACAAAAGTTGACTGATACAGTAAGAGTAAAGAGATATTATATTATTTATGTTGCATCTTACTTTTTAGTAGTTGAATAAAATTGCATAATTTAATTCAATTATATTAACATAATGGAGTTCTTTTATTTCTTTCTTTTTTTTACAAAAATAGACACAAATGATGCAAATATTGAGTACATAGCTATCATCTGATAATCTGGACAATCAGATCATTTGCGCTTGGAAGAACTGTAGACGTTGCAATCTAAAAGTCTAAATTTCTCTATTTGTGCTCCATTCAATTTCTTTGCTGATATGACTGAGATCTACGAATATACAAATCTGTATAACATGCATGTTTAGGAAAAGATACACAGTCGCATTAGAGTGTTGTGATGTGTTGTTGTTGCTAGGATACGCCATCCTGCAGGCCATCATGGAGAAGGCGGGTCAGAACGGCTGGCAGGTCAGTGCCATCTGTGTGGAGAACTTCAATGACGCCAGTCACCGAAGACTGCTGGAAGACCTGGACCGGCGACAGGAGAAGAAGTTCGTCATCGACCTCGAGACAGAACGACTCCAGAACATTCTGGAACAGGTGAGGAAGACGTCTGCAACCAATTCTGATATTAAAGAAATCTAAATGAACCACATTTAGTGAGTGAAGTGACATGTGGCCAAGTATGGTGACCCATACTAGGAATTAGTGCTCTGCATTTACCCATCCAAAGTGCACACACACAGCAGTGAACACACACAAACCGTGAACACACACCCGGAGCAGTGGGCAGCCATTTATGCTGCGGCGCCCGGGGAGCAGTTGGGGGTTCGGTGCCTTGCTCAAGGGCCTTTGGGTTACGAGTCCGACTCTTTAACCATTAGGCCACGACTTCCCCCTATTTACTCTCTTATCACACAATCCTGGTCGAACGCATTTGATCAAATAAAATGCTCCACTATATTGTTTTTCTTGTGGAATATTCTTTTTCACAGAAATATATTACATTATGGAATAAATTGGGTTGGGAGTCCCATTTCATGTTGACTTTTATTACTCAATTTTTAATTTTTTTTTTTTTACAATTTAAATTTTTTATTTATATGTTTTAAATATTTAGATATTTAAAAAAGAATGTAAACATTACTGTATATATATAGTGCTGGAAACTCTTTACGCCATTTTGCTAACTGACTTTGAACATATTTTACAATATTGTAAAAAATGTATTAAAAATGTAACATTTATTATAAAACTATATATAGCTCTGTGAGTCCTTTGAGACATTTTGATAACTGACTTTGAACATATTCTAAAATATTAAATTTTTTTTAAATTAAATATTAAAAGAAAATATTAAAAACTTAAAAAATATACATTTTTAAGAATTATAAATATATATATATATAGTACTGTAAGTGTTTTGAATAGTTTTGCTAACTGACTGAAATTACTCTACAATATTTCAAATGAATTTCAGATTCTACAATGTTTAAAAATATTTTTTATAAATAATTATATTTAAATGTTTTAAATATTTTTATAAAAATATAGCCATTTTGACTGACTTTGAAAATATTATACAATATTATACAAAATATTATACAAAAATTTTAAAAATATATATTTATTTAAAAAATGTAATACATTTTTTAATATTTAGATAATTATATTATAAAATATATTTTTGAAAATCTATAAAACAGTATATTCTACAATATTTGTAAGTTCATTCATAGAAAACAATAATTACATTTTTAAAATATTTAGATATTTAAAAAAATATATATTTTAAATAGTACTATAAGTGCTTTGAGCAATTTTTCAGCAAGCTTTGAAATTATTCTACTATATTTTTAAATATATATTTATAAATATTTAGATATTAAAAATATATATTTTTAAAAATATTATAAAACACACACACACACACACTCACACTCACACACACACACACACACACACACACACACTCACACTCACACACACACACACACACACACACACATATGATGTTTTGCTAACTCACACCAAACTTCTCCAAAACCTTTCGTAGCTGACAAAATGCACAATGATCCTCAACCTGCACATTGATTGACAAGCAGAGAGTATTTCTGATAGGCTAAAAAAGCACAGGTCTGCCTCCCTAACTGTGTTTGTCACACTGTCAGTCTCACAAAACCCATTCCAGTAATATCTGTCAGGTAGCAGCCACACTTAATGCGTGGCATTCTAAAATACGAAATCGCTTACAGCATCTTTAAAGGAAAAGCATAAAAACACAAATCACAGCGAGCCGGAGGGATCGCAGAGCAAGACGAGCGATCTGTGTTTTCCTTCTGGCCTGCGATTTGTTATTTTCTCGGTGACTCGCTCTGATCCCTCCTCCTGCCTGCGGAGCTTCTCGCTGTTCCTCACAGAATATGAGCACGCTCTGTCTGTCATGTGCATTGAAACTCAGAATAACACGATGTGCAGAGAGACAGAGACGAGAACAGGTGCTCACGAAACCGCTGCCAAACAGCCTGAAACAGACACGTCACAGTGATGTGATCTCACACACAAACAGCCAAAACAACCACCATATTTACAACACAGCGGCATTTGTGACCCTGCAGCACAAAAGCAGTGTTAAGTCACTGGGGGATATTTGTAGCAATAGCCAACAATACATTGTATGGCTCAAAATTATAGATTTTTCTTTTATGCCAAAAATCATTCGGATATTAAGTAAAGATCATGTTCCATGAAGATATTTTGTAAATTTCCTACTGTAAATATATCTAAACTTAATTTTTGATTAGTAATATACATTGCTAAGAACTTCATTTGAACAACTTTAAAGATGATTTTCTCAATATTTAGATTTTTTTGCACCCTCAGATTCCAGATTTTCAAATAGTTGTATCTCAGCCAAATATTGTCCTTTCATAACAAATAGTGCTCCAGGGTCACATTTTTCCTAGCTTAACGCAGGTCAATCAGGTCAAACACCATCATGACAGCAGTTTGACAAGAACCTTATTGAGAAAGCTAATTAATCATTCAGTTTAGTGCCATTTGAATACTGATGCCAACAATAATGTAAACAATAATGCAGGAATACCGAAAAAATTTAATGTTTTTTTTTTTTAAGAAATTGATACTTTTATTCAGCAAGGATGCATTAAATTGATGAAAAGTGACAGTAAAGACATTTATAATGTTGTGAAAGTTTTCTATTTCAAATAAATGCTGTTCTTTTTACCTTCTTCTTTTTTTGGCAAGTTTTACAAGCACAAGTAAAATTTTCCTAGAACATGTAAACTCTAGTTCTCTAGTTCAATCATATATATTGTTAAATTACAGTAATTATTTAAAGAAATAAAATCATTAAAGTAATAAGTATTTTATATTAAAATGTATATATTAATATAAGTGTATAAATATATACATTTATTAATTTCTTTCTTAAATATATAATTTCTTTTAATGTAACAATTCATTTAATACAATCTTAATTAATTTTTATTCACTTAAAAATGTTAATCATTTAACATAATTTAACATAATTTTAATGCTTTTTTTATTCATATAAAAACATCTCTGCCATCACTGGAATTTTAAAATGTATTGTAATAATATTCCACAATATTTTATTTACATGTTTTAAATATTTAGATATTTAAAAATATATTTTCTAAAACGTATACAATTACTGTATATATAGTGCTGTAAGCTCTTTAAGCCATTTTGCTAACTGACTTTGCAAATATTTTACAATATTTTTAAAATGTTTTATTAAAAATGTTATATTTATTATAAAACTATATATAGCTCTGTGAGCCCTTTGAGATATTTTGATAACTGACTTTGAACATATTCTACAATATTTTTTAAAAATGTTTAAAAATTAAATATTTATTAAAAGAAAATATTAAATACTTTAAAAAATATTTAGATATTTCAAAATATATATTTAAGAGTTATAAAAATATATATAATACTGTAAGTGTTTTGAACAGTTTTGCTAAATGACTGAAAATGTTCTACAATATTTAAAATGCATTTCAAATTCTACAATGTTTAAAAATATTTTTTTATATAAATAATTATATTTAAATGTTTTAAATATTTTAAAGAGTCATTGTGACTGACTTTGAAAATATTCTACAGTATTATACATGATTAAATAAATGCAGCCTTGTGAGCATAAGAGACTTCTTTCAAAATCATTAAATAATATTTATTATTAATTTACAATAATTATTATATAATATAAAAATAATTACAGTAAGAATTATTTTTAATACTAAAATGTATACATGTGTATATTGATTTGAATTAAAAAAATAATTAAATATAATTAATTTAATATATTTTAATGAATTTGTATTCATTAAAAAAACAGCTTTGCCATCACAGAAATAAATTACATTTTAAAATGCATTGCAATAGAAAAAATTTAAATATTTTAAATTGTAATAATATTTCTCAATATTACTTTTTTATTGTAGTTTTAAGACTTCTTTCAAAAATGTTTAAAAACCCCAAACTTTTGAATGCTAGTGTACATTAAACGGGCCTCATGTGTAACAGCTCCATGGTTCTCGTGCGGTAATGATGTTCAATATGAGCAGCAGAAGGAGTCACAGCTCAGCTCTCAGTACGTCTGATCTATGAACTCTGCGATTGCGGGGCGTTTGATTGTTACATGGTCCGTCTGTTCCACAGGCAGACCTCTGAGGTGCCCATCTATCAGCCTGACAGCAGACTTACACACACGCACACACACACACACACACACACACACACACACAC